CTCCCAGGAGGCATGCTCGCTCTTGTGCAGAAGGGGGCGCTCTCTCCCACGATTTGCCACAGGGTGGCTGGAAGGCTGCTCCGTCCAGCTTTTCCTGTTTTTCTTTTTTCCTTTTTATGATTACTTACAACTTGTTTTTACAGCCCTGGGCCTTGGAATTAAACATGTAAGCTCCCATTACTGCTCAGTGCTTTGGGTGCCTTATCCCATTTCATACTCTCTGTAACTTTAATCAGCTCCATGTTATGGATGAGGACAAATGGAGACTCAAAAGACGTGTCACCTGCCTGAGGTCATGCAGCTAAGAAACAGAGGGGCTGGGACCCTGACCAGTCTGATTTCAAAGCCCTGAGCTTAACTCAGCTGTCCTTCCCACTCCTAATATCTTCTCAGCAGGTGAGAAATTCAGAAGCAAGCCACAGCACAGGCCTCCTGGGGGAACCCCAAGGTGGGCCTGGGGCTTGGGGGTGGAATTGGGGGTCTTCACCTTTGATTTACTTAATTGCATTTTCCTCCAGTGGCAGGAAAGACAGCCTCTCTAGGACCTGGGCTCCACCAAAAGCATCCTTTCAGGGACTCTGAGGGACAGGTTCCCTCACATACCCCACAAAGGTGTGCGGGGAGTGAAGAGCTGCAGTTGCAGAGCCCAGTTCATATGTCTCCGGCTTACCCTGCCCCAACATCAGGGAGAAATATTGAACTTGTGGCAAATAAAGGACCTGAAGGTCTACTGGATCCCCAAGGGAGGGGCACAGGAAGGGACTCTTTTCCTACTGGATTAGGAGCAGGCAATCTTTAGGGCCTCCGTGGCATCTATTGGAAGAGCCAATATTTTTCCTCTCCCCCCATGGCCTTCAAATCTCTGTCCAGACTACAGGCTCTTCCAGGGCCATTAGGTCTGGGATATAGTTCTGGGAGAATCCCTGGGAATGGGATTCTGTTGGAAATGTTGGGCCCTATGTCCCAATGCCGTGTGCATACATGGCTTCTGGCTGAGCCTGGATTGATGCCATGTAGGCCTGACAGGCCCCAGATGTGGCCCTGCAGTTCTTCCTGGCCCAGGCCCCGAGTCAGAGGCTGCGGGCACAGCACCAACTTTAGATCCAAGAGGAACTGAAGCATTTGGGACAGGAGGAGTCAGGAGACCAGGCCAAAGTCCTGGTGGCTGGGGAAGACGTAAGGAGGGTCATGTCGGGGATTTGAGTCTTCTGATTGGGCCAGGCACTATGCTGGTGCACTGAGATCCGGTGTCAATCACAATAGACTGGGCCATACCCTCTCTCCTGACCCTCACAGCTTTGTGGGGGATAGATGAGGCAATTCTTGGTGCTAAGTGCTATGATGAGGGGAGTAGGGGCTTGTGGGAACAAAGAGGTGTACCCGACCCAGGCTGGAGTGGATCAGAGAGCATGGCATCCAAGCTGAGAATTAAAGGACAAGTAAAGCAACCAGGGGGATCCACTAGGCTCTGAGCCCCACAGGGACAGTCTGTGCTCATCACATAGAGGCACTCGGTAAATATAACTTGTTGGAACAAATTAAGAAACAAAATTTATGTGCATGGGGCATGGGGGCAGGGTGGAGAAACATATGTTCTAAGAGATGACAATACTGTATGAGGAAAGGTCCAGAGCCAAACAATGGAAAATGGGTTCTGGGTATTGCAAACCGTCACTGGCTGGAGCCTGGCAGGTGCATGGTCAGAGGCGAGTGCCATGCCTCTGAATTTCGACTTTATCCCAGGATGGTGGTGAACCGTTGAAAGGCGTGTCATCTCAGCTCTGCCCCTCACTAGCCACGTGAATCTGGGCGTTAAATCACTCCTCCGATCCAGTTTTCAAATCTGTAAAATGACAACTACTCATAGGGTGGTCCTTGGATAAAATGAGATCATACACATGAAGTGTGTAGGCCAGAGTGGGCACACAGGTGGCACTCAAGAAAAAGTAAGTTGCCCCTTGGTATCCATGGCAGATTGGTTCTAGGACTTCCATGGATACCAGAATTCACGGGTGTTCAAATCCCGTATATAAAATGGCACAATGTTTGCATGTAGCCTACACATATCCTCCTGTAGACTTTAAATCACCTTTAGATTACTTATAATACCTAACACAATGTAAATGTTATGTAAGTAGTTGTTATACTGTATTGTTTAAGGAATAGTGACAAGAAAAAACACTTGGTACATGTTCAGTTCAGACACGCAGCCACTGTGGGCCTAACTACATAGTACAACATCAGCAATAATGGAACATTAAAAAAATATATTTTTCAATCTGGGGTTGGTTGGATCCGTGAACGGGATGTGGATCCGAAAGGCTGACTGTGTTAACACTTAAGGCCTCCGAGAAGAGAGAGCGGTGGCACCGGGAGCACACAGGGCTGAGGCTCCAGCGGGAGGCCTTCGGGCACAGCGGGACACTGCGGAGCAGGACCCGATAGCCCTCTGTGGCCTGCATGTGCAGGCCAGCCGAGCACAGACATGCCACGTGTTACAGGTTAGTAGGGACAGAGGATGGGCCTTGAGCTGGTTACCATGCTGGCTGACAGACACCTCTGAATCTGGGCACAGGTGTTGCAAGCCTGGCAGGAGCTGTGGGAGGAACAGACCATGGCCAGAGCATCGCCACCGCAGCCTGCTGGCTGGCATCCTGCAGGACACCGTAAACCTGGCTGCACAGAACCGGGAGCTCCGGCAGGTTGCGGACTAGGCTGGGGCAGTCATGCTGGACCCTCGCCCTGGGGAGAAATATGGTGATCAGGAATCCTTCAGGAGCAGTTTCCTCTCACCTTTTCTTTCTTTTTAAATTATTTATTGATATTAGAGAGAGATGAAGCAAGGGGACGGGGGTGGGGGGTGGGGGTGGGGAGAGAGAAACAGCGATTTGTTGTTCCACTTATTTATGCATCCATTGGTTGATTCTTGTATGTGTCCTGACCGGGGATTGAACCTGCAATCTTGGTGTATCAGGACAACGCTCTAATCAATGGAGCTACCCAGGTAGGACCCGCTCTCCTTACTCTTTGTTGTTGATCCTCACCCAAGGATATTTTTCCACTGATTTTTAGAGAGTGGAAGGGAGGGTGAGAGACAGAAACATCAACATGAGAGAGGCACATCCATTGGTTGGTTGCCTTCTGCACGTGCCCTGACCAGGGCCAGGGATTGAGCCTGCAAACCTGACTTCCCTTGACTGGAATCGAACCTGGGACCCTTTAGTCCGCAAGTTGACGCTCTATCCACGAAGCCAAACTGGCTAGGGCTCTCCTTATTCTTAAGGATCCTAGAAGGAAGAGGAAGTTGGGACAGAATAACCAAGCTAAATTTCATTATAATTAATACCATCACTAACCACTTCGCATTGTACCAGTCCCTGCTAAGCACCTAATATCTACTGTTTCATTTAGCCTTTTCTACTACCCAAAATAATTGTAAGGCACCATTGACCCCCATTTCTGAGCTAAGGCAACTAAAACTAGGAGAGGTTAAATATATGCCCAAGGGCAGTCAGCTAGTGACAGAGTCCAAATTCAGGTCTAGTTTGCTATAGCTCTACACAGCAGATAGTAGTGGTTCACAAATGGCAGTGCATCCGTCACCTAGGAAGCTGCTTAAAAAAAAAAAAAGCCCGGCTGGTGTGGCTCAGTGTTTGAGCATCACCCCATGAACCAGGAGGTCACAGTTCAATTCCCAGTCAGGGCACAAGCCCAGGTTTTGGGCTTAGTCCCTAGTAGAGGGGGTGTAGGGGG